TCTGAAGTACGCTCTTCACCCTCACTAGATGGTGTGCTGACGTCGGTTTCAAGAACTGAAGAAAGAGCAGATATCGGTGGGGCGTCACTGATACTTGTTTCTTGTTTAGGTTCTCCAGATTGATCAGTTTCTGGTCGAACTACTCTAGTTCCCTTTAATCTAAATTTCTAGAAAAATTAAATATTTTGATATTTAATTCAATAAATTGTTTAAAATAGAATACTATTAACAAATATAATGGAATCTGGTTAGAGTTATTTTGAATTAAACTGATTCTCCAATTTCAGTTTATAAATATCAAATTAGATATAAAATATTTTTAGTCTATTGCTTTAAAATGTTTAAATAGAAAGATAAATCAATAAGTACATTGATTTCCATATCTTTGTGCTCAATGGTTTTAGAAAGATTTTTCATCTACAGAAAAAAAAAATGTGAATGAGAAAAATATTAAGAGCACAAGAAGAAAAACTAGTACAGATAATTCTAGCAAGAACTTGAAGACATCCTGTTAGAAGGTAAATACAGTTAAAAAATGAAATTTATAAAATAAAATGCAATCATTAAATTCTGATTCCAGCAACACTTAAAGAATGGTAAGTGATAAATTAACTGTTAAATGAAAATTAGACTGATTTTCTTTATATAGGTTAGTTTATTAAAAATGGACAACAGTAATCTAGTAATGTTTGAAAGTTCATAAAGAAAAAGAAAGATTTGGTAGAAATTGAATGATGATTACTTTGTGTAATAGTAAGATGAACAAGTAAATCTTTAACTATTCCTTATATTTGAGACTTCTAAGTTATCATCAAAGATGATCTGAACACCATTAAAAGGTTGTACATTTATACACCAATATAGCTACAGAAGGAATGAAGGGCAATCTGCTCCAGGTGGTATAATTTTGGGGATGGCACTTTTGGTCTACTGCAGTGAAAGTTGGGATAGTAGAAGGATACAAGATGCTAGAGACAGACAATTTTATTTTTCCACAAAAACACTTTACTGTCAGATATTTCCAACAATTGTAAGGACTGTATTCCCTTGACAGTCACACCTATTTAGATGCTTAATTAAAAACATTTATACTAATGCTCTTATTTCTTAAAAAGGGAAAAAACTTGTAAAGTTCTGTAAATACATTATGCAGGATGTTAGAAATAAAGTGAACCAGTCCCTTAACTTGGGAATGATTAAAAGTAGGAGGATCAAACTAATTATAGCCAAACAAGGTGCAAGTAGGCCCTACGAAAAGGGTGCAGCCAGGGCACTGCCCCAGAGCCCATGAGCGTTAGGAGGACCATCAGAGAGGAAAAATTTAAAAATTGTCTGTTTACTGATTATTTTTCCAAGTAATGAAATAACTTTGGCTGTGAGCTAATATTTATACCAGATTATTTTTCTACTTCAATATCATTGTTATTTGTATAAGTAGGGTCTCTGAAAAGGGTGCCCAAAGTGGTCTTTGCACTGGCAGCACTCCATTCTCTTGCAGCCTTGCATGCAACTATACATGTTCAAAAGTTGTTGAGTGTATTTGTTGAAGACTCTGTTCATACTTTCATATATTTTCCCTTTATATTATGAGATCCTCACCAAAGCCCAATTATTTATTGTGACATTGTCACAATGCTGGGCTGCAATTTTTAATCATATTTTTAATTTATTTAAAATACATGCTCTCTATGCCAAATTAGTAGTGGCTTTTCCTTTAATAATACAATTGTACCAATCATCTATTAACTGCTTTTAGGGGAAAGTTTCAAACTGAAATAATGTGACTTCTGGTTTGCATTGGAAGTTCATATACGAGTATAGACCTCCCACCCTAAGGTTTCCACATCTGGTCTCAGATTTCATCTATCTAACATCATTCTTGAGATGAAGGAAGGATGGATGACAGTGGAAATTTATAGGTCTACAATTTTTTCAAATTGCAGCCCAGTAAACATTTATTCTGGGGTAATTTTTGATAACTTTTACTCAACAACTATGCAAGTTATCATCATCATTAATTAACCCTGGGCTCATTGCCCATTGGTGTCTGATGCCTTTTCCACTATTTTCTTCCATTTCTCTCTATCCATTGCCAATTTTTTCAATTCCTGTACATTCACTCTACACCACTTCTTCACGTCATCAATCCATTCTCTATATGGACTGCAGTGGCATGATGTGACATTTGATAATAGGGAAGCTATGTTTCTGTAAGAAGCCAACTTCCAGGGGCAATCAGTTAATTGTGCATCAGTGATGGTCTAGGGTCCATTTGTATTCATTTGTTCGATAAGCCAGTAAAAACTGTAGACTTCTCTATATTCCAAATTGCTATCCACAATATAAGGGCTAAAATTAAAAATAAATTATAAAAACTTACTTCATGAAATAAAATGTGCAGTGGATATACATACCTGGTACAGAATATTCTTCAATTGTATGAATATACTTTTAAAGAAAATTATAATTAAATATAACTTTGTAAAGAAACGTATATAAAAATAACATAAAATATTCTTTAGTTTTTAAATCTTAAAACAATCCACTTAATCAAATAGCTCATTACAAGTAGCTAATGGATGGAATCAGAGATGGTCCAGGTAGGTGTGCAGTGTTTGCATGCCAAATCCTGAGGGTACCAATACTGGTCAATGTCAAATGCCTCTTGTCGCATCACTAGTGTAACTCAAAGGTCCCGTGTTCACCGTAAAAACCTGGTTACTGTTTTAAAAGAATACTGGGAAGCTGGTCGTCGTGTTTTTTTGCGAGATGACATATTATATGTAGATGACAAAAGATTCACGTATTCTATCTCGGGCCATTGCTTAATAGAGGTGCCTGTTTCTTTTTATTTTGAATCCCCCCCTGCAGGAGAGTAGGTTTGGAGAGACTTTCAACTTCATCATGCCCAGACCAGTTTGATTCGAGTAGTTATTCGGAATCATTGTTTTTTTGGAATTGTTATGGGTTTAGCACCAAGTGTTCTCTGTTGGATTATATGATTAAACGACCAGGTTTAATTTGTTTAGCCCTTGTTGAAACCTGGATGGTTTGTGGATGGAGATTTTCTTGCTAACTTTCTTCCAGTAAACTGGAAGTATTTTATGATTCCAGCAGAAAAGCCATTGGGGCTGGGTAGACCCCATGGTGGTATTTTGTTCTTTTTTGATGAAGTTAGAGGGCACTTTAAGTTATTGGAAACTTACCCTGATTTGATGGTGATTGGTTTATCACTTTTCTCAGTTCTCGAACCTAGAAATATTCTGGTGCTGGTGGTATATGCTAGCTCACTGAGACAGCAGGGTTTACGTTTAGAATTGTTTTCTTCTATTTTGAACTCTTGGTCTTCGTACTACCATGGAATTGTGATAATGGGCGATTTTAACATCCATATTGGTGAAGGAATTGATTCGCATTTGAATGTAGCTTCTCCCAACATTTTTTATGTCAGACGGTCAAAAGATTTAAAGGTCAACATGGCCAGGAGACAGTTTCTACGTTGGTTGATTGAACATGATTTTATTCTCCTTAATGGTCGTACTAAGGGAGATTTCCACTTTTTTGTCAAAAGTGGGTAGCTCGGTTATAGACTATTGTCATTTCTCAGAATCTGGTTCATAAGATTGAATCCCTTTGTGTTGGGTCTCTCTCATCTTCAGACCATTTTCCAGTGGAATTACAGTTGGTGACCAGATACAGATACAGATTTTTTTTTTTTTTTTATTGATAATATACCAAAGGTACATTCCCGGTACCGTTTACACACAACCGGGTGAGTCGTGACAATGAATACAGATTACAAGGAAAATTGGTAAGAGGACAAATACCATAAATACAAACTGTTGGAGATGAGTAACTAAGTCAAACTAATAGATGCCATAAGTACAAGTTTCAGAATTGAGATAAGTAAAATGTATACAAAATAATTAAATGCAAAATACNAAATAAATGTTATATGAAATTTTGCCTAAATTTGCTCTAAGACAAATTTGATATCAAACAAATAAACTTCAAAAAAAGTCTGCAGGGCACTTTTGACTTCAGGAATTTATAAATGGTTGCATTATAGTTACAATTAGTAAAAATAAAAAAATTCCACTTACTGCCATTACTATTATTTCCTTAAAACAGTAATAAAAAATGCAATAAAGTCAGTAAATATATGAATATCATCACATTCAAAAAAAGTATTGTACAATAATACAGTTGTCCCTTGATAATCCGACAGGTATGGGACCAAAGGTGTGTCAGATTACCAAAAGTTTCCAGATTACCGAAAATAATTACATATTTCGCATTGTTTTGCTAGCAGTAGCCTACAATATTCTCTACTCCAACTGTTCGAACAGAACTGCTCACATAAAACACACGAAATGTGTCGCCGAGTAAGAATTGGATGGGGAGATTCACATCGCGACATGCTTCTGTGCAAGCAGACACGTAACGGGGACGNGAACTGCTCACATAAAACACACGAAATGTGTCGCCGAGTAAGAATTGGATGGGGAGATTCACATCGTGACATGCTTCTGTTCAAGCAGACACGTAATGGGGACGGGTACCTTGACGGGAGGTGCGTCGGACTACTGAGCATGTCGGATTAAAAAACGTCGGACTATAGAGGGACAACTGTATCTTTTAATAATTTTTGTTGAGAGTTTTCTAGTCATTTGCTTAATTATTTTATTTGTTGTTATATTTATAATATCTGGTTTTTAATGATATTGCGTAAGGAAGGATCTTTACAAATTTTCATTTTTACAAACTATATTTGCATTTTATTTATTTATTATACTGTTAGATGAGATTTAATTCATTGTATGAAAAAGCCAGTTTGTTGATTGCATTCCACATGTTGGGTTCAAATTTATATTAATTTTAAATGATATTCAATTTATATTAGTACAATTTTAGGCAAATTTAAACATACATTTTTGTTGTTTAAAAGGATTAAAAACTAACTAAGTGATTAATATCAATTAAAAAACAACCACATCAAAAACATTGCATAGATGTATTTATTGTATTAATATTTAGTTGGGTATATATGATAACTTTAATCATGCAGCTGTAACTATTAATATAAGGGACAAAGTTTTTTACTTTGTCATAACTGAGGAAAAAAGAAAGTAATGAAATAAAAATTTATGCGAATTAATACAAATCAATTATGTTTTTGTAGAAATGGTAAAATGTGTAAAAAATTTGGCAGGGAATAAAGAGCATATGATGCATGTATAAGTTATGTACAAGAAAGGCTTAGATGATTAGCTAAAATCTTTGTGCATAACAATTAAAATCATCTCGTTTTGTCAAACGGTCCATTTGCTGCCGGCAGGGAGCAACGACATCAATATTAATAAATAAGTGTCTATTTTAATTGGAAAAGCTACTAATATAAGGGCTTTATTAGCAAAATTACAAAGATGAGAATTTTAAATCTCTTCATTGAAGATGAAATTGAAAATGTTCTATACAATATCTGATTAACAAAACCTGTAAAACTTCATTAAATTATATGTATAACTGAAATTTGATTCAAAATAACAAGTGACAAAATATTTGATCCTTAAAATGTGCTTTAGGATTTTAGTTGTGGAAATGACAATTTTTCATTTATCATCCCTTCGTTAAAATTGCACTATACAGTCAACTCTTAATTATTGACAAGTGCATTGTCGAAAGTCGAAATAACTAATTTTTACAAACAATATTCATAAAATGGTCTACAGTGCCATTTTGAAACTGCTATAAGTTTGTAATTTTAATATTCAATAATTAATTTTTCAGACCTCTCTTCATTTATTTCAATACACGAGTTTTTTCAATGCTGCTAGTAATTCATCAGATCTTACTCTCTACAATATCTTTGATAATCAAGAGTTGACTGCACTTCACATCTCAGGATGTCCTGCGTGAATATGGCAAACAGCAATGAATTGGTATCATTTTTGATACTTTGACATTTACAATATGTACAAGTAATGTTTATAATATAATACAAAGAACATTGTATAAATTAATTCATCTTAAACTCCAATTTATGTATTTTTTGATACATATCCAATTAATTACATTCATCATCATACCAATTCCATATATATACATAGCATTGATCCCTTCTATTGCTCGATTTGAACATTGAGATATCATGCAAAACATCAATAGGAACTGCTATGCAGTCACAGAAATGTCTGCATAAAAAAATCACAGTAAGATATCCTTATTTATGGGATTGATACACTCTTGTGATATGTCACTGCAATGAGCAAAATTCCCAATATTGCTAATAAATTAAATAATGGAAATTATCACATTTGCTGACTGTCCAAAGTTTGTATTTTGCCCTTATTAACATATAGAAAGAAAAATCATAACTTGATTTATTCTTGGACGTTAGTCTAATGTGATAGGTTAGAGCAGTAAATATTGCCAAGAAATGAAAGTATATATAGATATATATCATCATATGCAATATTTCTTATCATTTTTGAAAAAAGACCCTTCATAATATCAGCCCCCTACCGGCTGAATCCTTAAATATAAATGGTGACAGTTTCTTTTCACAGGCCAAATACAATAAGAGTGCTCAGATAAGGCATGCACAGGCTTTCTAGCAGTACTGGCCCTATTTTCTTGAGTAATTTACTTTGCATCTAAATTTCTAATTCTCTTCCATATGTTTAAGCTTTAAACAAAAAGAAAACATAACACAAAAAAAAATAAACAAACAAGATCTTAGTATCATTAATAGAAATTGAAGAACTACATTCATAAATATCTAAAACTGTCTAAACAGTTAGGCATAGGATGGATTGACTGCACAATGTTTAAGAATGGTAATTTTCATTTGTTATGATTGCACATTTCTCCTCTATATTAGAGTGATGGGAGGCAACAGACCCTGGAAGTGTCTCTGCATTATCACTCCTTTTCTATGTAGCACCGCACCGACATTGTCGGAATAAAGAAATAAAATGGAATGAAATGGTAAGGAAAGGGAGTGCTCACATTTTCTGACATCATTTTTATCACAGAAAACTTTCATCATTACCAAGCAGCAAGCTAGGATTGAAAGTTAATTATTAGCAAGGAGAGGAAGGCAAAGGGCATTTTTGTTCTATCTCCCTGAGTAGAAAAAAAGCATGATTTATGAATAAACATTTTGTGAACTCCAGGATCCATGGAATTTTTTCAATTCCACCATATTATAGTGGGATGATAATGCATGCTTGCTTTCTTTTGGGAAGCACTTCATGTTTTGATAGCATGCAGCAAAACCCAAGATGAACTCAGATGTATGTCTATTGGGATCTAGGATGGGTAGGAAGACTTCAGTCTTCTCAGAAATGAGTCTTGATCTGGACTGGACGTCCTGTACAAAAATAGAATCCAATATCTTAGAAATAAGACTGATTCCTACACATCTGAAGTACGCTCTTCACCCTCACTAGATGGTGTGCTGACGTCGGTTTCAAGAACTGAAGAAAGAGCAGATATCGGTGGGGCGTCACTGATACTTGTTTCTTGTTTAGGTTCTCCAGATTGATCAGTTTCTGGTCGAACTACTCTAGTTCCCTTTAATCTAAATTTCTAGAAAAATTAAATATTTTGATATTTAATTCAATAAATTGTTTAAAATAGAATACTATTAACAAATATAATGGAATCTGGTTAGAGTTATTTTGAATTAAACTGATTCTCCAATTTCAGTTTATAAATATCAAATTAGATATAAAATATTTTTAGTCTATTGCTTTAAAATGTTTAAATAGAAAGATAAATCAATAAGTACATTGATTTCCATATCTTTGTGCTCAATGGTTTTAGAAAGATTTTTCATCTACAGAAAAAAAAAATGTGAATGAGAAAAATATTAAGAGCACAAGAAGAAAAACTAGTACAGATAATTCTAGCAAGAACTTGAAGACATCCTGTTAGAAGGTAAATACAGTTAAAAAATGAAATTTATAAAATAAAATGCAATCATTAAATTCTGATTCCAGCAACACTTAAAGAATGGTAAGTGATAAATTAACTGTTAAATGAAAATTAGACTGATTTTCTTTATATAGGTTAGTTTATTAAAAATGGACAACAGTAATCTAGTAATGTTTGAAAGTTCATAAAGAAAAAGAAAGATTTGGTAGAAATTGAATGATGATTACTTTGTGTAATAGTAAGATGAACAAGTAAATCTTTAACTATTCCTTATATTTGAGACTTCTAAGTTATCATCAAAGATGATCTGAACACCATTAAAAGGTTGTACATTTATACACCAATATAGCTACAGAAGGAATGAAGGGCAATCTGCTCCAGGTGGTATAATTTTGGGGATGGCACTTTTGGTCTACTGCAGTGAAAGTTGGGATAGTAGAAGGATACAAGATGCTAGAGACAGACAATTTTATTTTTCCACAAAAACACTTTACTGTCAGATATTTCCAACAATTGTAAGGACTGTATTCCCTTGACAGTCACACCTATTTAGATGCTTAATTAAAAACATTTATACTAATGCTCTTATTTCTTAAAAAGGGAAAAAACTTGTAAAGTTCTGTAAATACATTATGCAGGATGTTAGAAATAAAGTGAACCAGTCCCTTAACTTGGGAATGATTAAAAGTAGGAGGATCAAACTAATTATAGCCAAACAAGGTGCAAGTAGGCCCTACGAAAAGGGTGCAGCCAGGGCACTGCCCCAGAGCCCATGAGCGTTAGGAGGACCATCAGAGAGGAAAAATTTAAAAATTGTCTGTTTACTGATTATTTTTCCAAGTAATGAAATAACTTTGGCTGTGAGCTAATATTTATACCAGATTATTTTTCTACTTCAATATCATTGTTATTTGTATAAGTAGGGTCTCTGAAAAGGGTGCCCAAAGTGGTCTTTGCACTGGCAGCACTCCATTCTCTTGCAGCCTTGCATGCAACTATACATGTTCAAAAGTTGTTGAGTGTATTTGTTGAAGACTCTGTTCATACTTTCATATATTTTCCCTTTATATTATGAGATCCTCACCAAAGCCCAATTATTTATTGTGACATTGTCACAATGCTGGGCTGCAATTTTTAATCATATTTTTAATTTATTTAAAATACATGCTCTCTATGCCAAATTAGTAGTGGCTTTTCCTTTAATAATACAATTGTACCAATCATCTATTAACTGCTTTTAGGGGAAAGTTTCAAACTGAAATAATGTGACTTCTGGTTTGCATTGGAAGTTCATATACGAGTATAGACCTCCCACCCTAAGGTTTCCACATCTGGTCTCAGATTTCATCTATCTAACATCATTCTTGAGATGAAGGAAGGATGGATGACAGTGGAAATTTATAGGTCTACAATTTTTTCAAATTGCAGCCCAGTAAACATTTATTCTGGGGTAATTTTTGATAACTTTTACTCAACAACTATGCAAGTTATCATCATCATTAATTAACCCTGGGCTCATTGCCCATTGGTGTCTGATGCCTTTTCCACTATTTTCTTCCATTTCTCTCTATCCATTGCCAATTTTTTCAATTCCTGTACATTCACTCTACACCACTTCTTCACGTCATCAATCCATTCTCTATATGGACTGCAGTGGCATGATGTGACATTTGATAATAGGGAAGCTATGTTTCTGTAAGAAGCCAACTTCCAGGGGCAATCAGTTAATTGTGCATCAGTGATGGTCTAGGGTCCATTTGTATTCATTTGTTCGATAAGCCAGTAAAAACTGTAGACTTCTCTATATTCCAAATTGCTATCCACAATATAAGGGCTAAAATTAAAAATAAATTATAAAAACTTACTTCATGAAATAAAATGTGCAGTGGATATACATACCTGGTACAGAATATTCTTCAATTGTATGAATATACTTTTAAAGAAAATTATAATTAAATATAACTTTGTAAAGAAACGTATATAAAAATAACATAAAATCTTCTTTACNTATATCTTAAAAATAATTAATTATATCCTGGAATCCCGGGAAACAGATCACTTTTTTCTCGAAATCCCAGAATGGGAAATGAGAAACCCTAAATGACACAAAGCGATCTTGCACCACTAACTTCTGAATCAGTAGTCCTCGATTGTCATTGATTAGTCAAGCTGTCGACTTTCTTTAATACAGAAAGTATAGAGAGTTGACCATTTGTGGCTGGCTCTTGCAATTAAGAGTTTGACATTCTATTCATGAACCAATTTATTTGAAAAGTGAGTCGTTTGAAAGCTGAGGTTTGACTGTACAATTGGACCAAGGACATTGTTCTATTAAAGCTGATCTTCATTGATGATGACTAATAGTATTTTATACAAGAAAATTTGCAAGTTTTACATTCAATATATTTCAATTACTGTAATCAAATAATGTTATTAATGGCTTAAATAATAATATTTTCAATTGTGTTATAAATAATATGTTGATTTATACATATTCAAATGTAAATTTGCCTTATTAATATTTTGAAATTAATTTTTCAACAATTATCCACATTTTATTTTTAAACCAAGTTTAATTAATTTATATTGTTTTTCATTGATTTAAGTTTTAAAAATAAAATAACAAGATTTAAAAAGTAGATTATAATTATATTAATTGTACTTACATGTGACAAATCAGTAGGTTGTGATAAACTCCTGGGTGGTTCAATATAACATTTATCTCCGGCTGGAGTTGGAGGCACAGTTTTAGAATGATGATCAGTTTGAGGAGGAGGTTCTTGTTTGTTTGTTACCTCATGCTCTTCCCCAACAGATTTACTGAAACATAAGAAATATGCTATTTTATTTATTTTATAATACATCAACATACATTAAAACCTCAATTAAACAGACAAAATTTCTAGCCCTTATGTTGTATGTAAAAATTAACATCTTGTTAATTTTACTTAAAATGCTTTTTTATATGAACAGCAGACAAACGTCAAGCTGTTCACACAGGCAGTTTGCGTGAGAAGAACCTGGCTATTATACGTGACAATAAAACTGACATAACTACGTGGTTAGTCACGAACACCAACAAACAAAATGGAAGTTTTGGTTAGAAATAAATACTTTTTCTTGCCATATATCTAATAATAGACAGATGTCATCATCTCTCCAGATGACTTTTTTTATTTCTCTGTTGATAGCCCGACATGTGTTTTGCAGCCATCTTGTATTTTCTCGCGTGCATGGGATTGTGGGATCTCTCTTATGACTGGATCTAGTTTCAAGAACTCTCTTGAGTTGATCATGATTGAACCTTGTTTCAGTTGAGATTGAAACGGTCAAGAGAGATCACACCATGGTATAGTTGCCAACCATGGTTACAATCTAGATCGAAATGCTCAGTGCGAATGGGGTATTAGGCTTTCCATATCTGGTCTTGAATTTCATTTATCTAACACATTTCTCGAGATTATGGAAAGACAGACAGACTGAAAACAGTGGAAATTTACAGGTGTACAATTTTTTCAATTGCAGTCCAACTAAGAGAAGAAACCCCAAGTCAAGATTCCTAAAAAAACATGGTGTGATAAGTCCAAAACTAATGGCCAAAAATATGTAGCTATATAAGAAGACATTAAGATTAATAAAGTATTTTATTAATTTCATAAATATTTTTGATTTTACTAAATATATCTTTATATAATNATGAAGACGCTCCTGTTCCACCATTGGGCAATGCAGGATGTAGTGTCTGCTACTGTCTATGGTGCCACAGATGGGACACATGTTGTCGGTTCTGCCCTTGAATCTGGCGAGATATGAGAAGAAAGATCCATGATTGGTGAGCATCTGCGTCATTTGATGATTTGGAGAATAAAAGTTACTATTTAGTAGTTGGTGACCAGAAACAGATTTTCCTTTGTTGATGGGCTTTGTCCACCAAGATTCGTTATGTTTGGAATGATTCTAAAGTATAATTGTTTGGTGACGCCATATTGCAGAGTTTCTGGAATATAAACTTTGATTCTGTGTCTGTTGATGATTTCTATGGTATTATTTTATCTGAGCTATGCTCTATAGCAAGAAGACTAAATGTGTTCATTGAAGGTGTTGAACTTTACAGGAGGATTCACCCCCTTGGTTTGATAGGTCATGTTACATTCAGAAGCGAGCGAGGAACATTGCCTTGGAAAAATTCCGCAGATCTAATAGTCAGGCTGATTTGGCTTCCTTTTTAAATTTGAAATGACAATATAATTCACTTATTAGGGCCAAAAAGAGGAAATGTTTTTGTAATTATGCTTTACAGTTGGCTGGGATTAGAAACTCTAGGACCTTTTGGTATTGGGTAGGTCGTTTTCGTCAGGTCAAACGCATACTAGACCAAGAGATTTCCTTGACTGATTGGTTTATTTATTATCAACAGTTATTTAGTTTAAATACATCGAATTTAACCCCGATTCTGTCACTACCAATGGCTTCTTTTGTTGCTATTCCTATTTTAGATCTTCCTATCTCTGATTCAGAGGTGAATACAGCACTTCAAAAGATGCGAATTCATTCTGCTCTCGGGGTGGATAATGTTTCACCATCTTTAATTGTTTACTCTAAGGATACTTTGGTTCCTTACTTGGCCAAGTTATTTAATCGGATTTATGACACTGCTAGAATCCTGAAATTGTGGTTAGAGGTAAAGATAAAAGTTATACATAAAAAAGGTCCACTGGACGAGCCCACTAACTTTCGACCAATATCGCTGTTGCCTGTAGTTCGAAAGATATTTACCTCTATTTTGGCAAATAGATTGGGTACTTGGCTAAAAGAGAGGAATTTGATTCAACCTGTGCAATTTGCTTTCCAACCTTGGAAGAACACTTTAAGTAATATTCTGATTCTCCACTCTATTATTTGTAGACAACTATCAAAGAAAAGACAACATTTACTTGCAGCGTTCATTGACTATGAGAAAGCCTTTGACAGTGTTGTTTTGAAGATTTTGTTATCCAAATTAAAAATGCTTGGAATCTCTGACAAGTTTATTGACATTATTCAATGTTTATTTTTAGGATTGAAAGCAAGGATTTCCACTAGTGCCGGGTCTACTGATGCCTTTTCATTAGAAAAGGGTTTACCACAGGATGATTCCTTAAGTCCGATATTATTTATTTGTTATGTTAATGACATGGTACACGCTTTTGATGATTTAAGTAAAGATTCCATTTCTCTGGGAGACTACGAAGTCCATTTACTTCAATTTGCTGACAATACAATGGTGTTATCCATTACCCTGATTTATCTACAAAGGAAATTGGACAGGTTATATAATTATTCCTCTAATTTGGGTTTGAGTATTAATTTATCCAAGTCGAAAATAATAATTTTAAATATGGTGGAAGGTTGAGAAAAACTGATAAGTTTTTCTTAAATGGTAGAGGAGTCAGTATTGTTAATGAAGTTATATATTTGGGGATTTGTCTCTCAGCTACTGATCTCAGCTCTACAGCTACTACAGCTACCAAAATTACATTTCTTACATTAAAGGTAATGCATTTTCCAAAATAAATGTTATACTAGACATCTTGAGAAGGGTTACAAACAGTCATATGGCTTTGTGTAAGAAACTTGCCGCCTCTCTTTTTACTTTGAGTTGGTCTTATAGTCTGCCCTTTTGGGGGCCTTTTTGTTTTGAGGGTATTGACTCCATAGAACTGATGTTCTTTCATCGTCTTTTTGGTCTTGAGAGGTCAATCCCATCGTATGCAATTAGATCTGAATTGGGCATAAGTTTCCCCGGAAATGCTTTGTTAAATTAACCTTAAATTTTCTGAGAAGCATAATCTCTGACCCATCATCCTTGTAATGTGAGGCTTATTTTACTTTGAAGAAGTTTTCATCAAAAAGATTGCTCAAATTCTGTTGGTTTACTAAACTTGAGAACCTATTTAATAGAATAGGTGTCTCACTCTCCTTGATAGATTCCTCTTCAAATGTTTTGAAATATTACGCAAATACAATTTTACAAGAGTTTGATAATTTTTTCTTGAGAGAAGAAGGGGACAGGATTCTTAAGGCTAAGTACCATTTATGGTACCCAGAAATATTAGACAACAACGGTGCTTTTACATTTATTATCAGCAGTTACTGTTTATTTTTAAAAAAACGATCATACAGATTCATCTAAATAAGTTTTGTTTAGCATGGAAACACTTGTGTATTGATCTACGTTCACCGGAAATGTGTCTGTTTTGTAAGAAAGGAAATGCGACTTTAAATCACTACATGTTTGACTGTGAGGATTTTGAATATTTGCATCTATCAACACTTCCTAATAATGTTTTTTGTACTGATAATGTTCTTTGTAAAGATCCAGCAGATAGAATTCATGGATTATTCTCTATCAACGTGTATATGGTGTAAATATAATTTACTGACCAAAGTTATTAATGTTACCCCTCCTCCTAAAAATTAATTTTATGTATGGAGTTTTCAAATAAATAAATAATAATTAGTGTACCTGAAAGGACGCGACAAGGTTGTTGTAAATCTTAAACGTTTCTCATCATAACTGTAAAAATCTACGTGTTAAACTTAATACTAAGTAGATTGTCCGTCATTTGTTTTTTAACTAATTCGTTTTAGGACCACATGTCCATGAAAATTTCCAAAATTTACAATTTTTAGTCACTCTTGTTGAACTGGAAAAATTTCTGTCTTTATTATATCTAATATTACAAAGAAATCAGTCCACACTGTACTCTGTTAAGCTTTTGTTCAAGTAAAATTCTGGCTCTTTCAGCAGGATTTTATTTGTGTCCCCAATTTCCTAATCTCTTAATTATTTAACTACTACTTAAGTAGAAATAAGTGGAAGCCAGTTATTTTGTACTTGAATATTTGTAGTCTCGGGAAAAAAGTGGAAAAAGAAATTTTTATGACAACAGATTCATAAATCATAAATTTCAGGAAAATAAATTCTAGAGCTTTTTCTGTACCTTGTGCATATCTCTCATTCATTAAATTTAGTTATAAATGATGCTACCAAAGTAACAGTTAATTTTTTAACAGGATTTAACGTTTTTTTCTGCATTCCCTTATAAATGGGACATACAAAATTGTAATATCACTGGTTTAACATTGAAATCCATAAGTAATATAAGATGGGAGAGTGGAATAAAAGCAGAATAAAAATATCAAATATTTTAATGGATTTTTTAAAACTTCTGTCAACTATACAGAACTATCATAAAAACATATCAGTAAACTCCTATCTGTGGGTTAAGTTATAAATCTACTCATGATTCCATAATGGTGTAAGGGCGGCCAAATATCTAGCAGGCAGGAAGCTAACAGCCCAGAACCAGTCCTGGATAGAATCATTGGAAGCGTTATATGTGTGTAGCTTCCACTGGCTAAACCGGGTGAGGTTGGTGCTCTGTAAAGTGCATGTGCAAATGAGTATAATCTGGCTGTTTGGAAACTGACAATACAGTGCTTCTATTCTGCCACTGATATTCGAATATACAATAGCAATCTTGTTTTTTTCACATGTAGTATAAAAATTTGTAATAAGATACATAATGCGGTTATAATAAAATATTTATTTTAATTAATCCAAAATACGTTAAAATATGAAAATAATCGCGCAGTATGTATTTATTTTTTAGAAAATACAAGGGAAACTGTTCTTCCACCACTTCCAATGACGGCACGCCACTGACGAACTGCCTCTCTTGTTAGATCCATCCATAATTCCATAGACTAGAGTCTTTATTCATTCTTGTGATATGTCCAAACAGTTGTAGTTTTCATTGTATAATTTTTTGTAAGAGATTCTTTTTCACATATATCTTATTATAAAGTTCTTCGTTTGTGACTTTCTGCATCCATCCTATTTGTCAGATCTTTCTGTAACAGTGTCTTTCAAATGCTAATATTTTTCTTTCCATATCTTTTGTTATTACCCATGTCTCACAGGCATACAGCATACGGGAGAAGATGCAAGTGTTCAATACTTTTAATTTTGTCTGCAAACTAATTGCTTTACTTTTTCAGATTTTGTCCATTGCTTTCAAATTTGTTTTTG